CCCCCCCACTTTTCTCTTTTCTTTAAGAGAGATTTTGTTATAGGGCATGTGTGCTCACCAGAGAGAGACAGACAGAAAGCGTGAAGTCATCCCCCAGGGGAGATGGCCACGCCACAATCCCTTCTCCTCCATTCTCCTCTTGAGATTTTGGGTATGTACGCACAACGTGAGTTTTGAGCCTCCAGATCCAGTATTTGAACCGTAGTTAACTACACGGGAGTCCAGCAGTGTAACTAGTACACCATCTGCTGGTCCCAATTGTGGCCCCTTTTTATACAACATAGAGTAAAGCATTATTGTGGCTCCTTTTTACACAAATAGAATTATAATTTACAAATTATATTCCAGTGTGATTTTTTTCATATCTGATTATGTCTTTAACGTATTTCCATATCAGTTTATTCAAATTTATTTTACTTTTTTTTTTTTTTTTTTTTTTGCTATAAGGCACATGTGCTTACCAGAGAGAGAGAAAGGGTAGTAAGAAATCATCCCCCAGTGAAGGGTGGCCAGGCCACAGTTCCTTCTCCTCCAATCTTCTCCCCTGATATGATTTTCAAGCCACAAGGTCCAGGACTCGAACCACCCATGCCATGTGGGACCCAGTGCCCCAACCTCCATGCCACCTGCTGACCTTTGCATTACTTATTTTTTTAAACAATTATTTTATTTAACTTTATTTTAATTTGATCAGAGAGGAAGAGGGGAAGGGAGGGAAGAAGGGAGGAGGAAAGTGAGAAAGCAAACCACTAGGCCCGGGACTCGAACTGCAGTCACCCATGTGGGATTCCAGTGCCCTTAAACACCATGCCACCTGCTGGCCCTATTGCATTACTTCTTAAAATATAATTCATTGTTTTTATTTTCTTTTCATAGATTTTGCCATAGAGTGCATGTGCTCACTGGAGAGAGATGGGAGGAGTGAGAAATTGCCCCCCAGAGGATAGCTATGCTACAGTCCCCCCTCCTCTACTCTCCTCTTGGGATTTTGACCACACATGCACGTACACCCAGCTTGAGTTTCAAGTTACAAGGTCCGGAACTTGAACCATGGTTGGCCATATGACAATTTAGCTCTTTGACCACCACACTACTTGCCGGCCCCTGGCAATTAGAATATTAATATTTTTATAGTATAGATTCCTAAAGATAGAGGTGCTCTAAAGTTTGAAAGTAAAATCATTTTCATAGACTGTCCATTTTCTTCTGGAAAACTAGCAGTTTGCCTCCCCCTAAACAGCTGAGTGTGTGTCCCTGATACAGGGACCCTGGGAAATGGAAACGTGCTCAGAGTCGGTTTATTTGCCACCCGGTAGTAGTTTCTTGCAGTTTTTATTATTTTTTAACCACTCTGGGGTGCCAGAATTCGTAGTAATTCTAATTTAGATAGATTCCTACTTCTGTTTGGACATTAGTTTTCCAAAGTGTTTTCAATTTGTGTTCCAAATCTGGACGTGTAAGTGTTCCGTGTGGTTTGTGTATTGCCCTGCCTGGCCCATGCCATCTGGTGATCACATTTGGGAACCAGTATGTGACAGTCAGTGACTGCCTGACACTACAATGTGAATAACCTTGATGAGAGCTCCTGTTCACTGGGCTCTTACCGCATGTGGACACTCCAGGTGCTGTCTGCACATGCTGTCTCTCTCTTTTTTTTAGAGATTTTTGCTATAGGGCATGTGCACTCATTGGAGAGTCAGAGGGAGACAGTTAACAAGAAATCACCCCCCCCAGGAGCAATGGCCATGCTGCAGTCCCTTCTCCTCCATTCTCCTCTCAGGATTTTGGGCATGCATGCACACACACCTGATGTGACTTTTAAGCTACCAGGTCTGGGACTTTGTGGGAGTCCATGGCCACCATGCCATCGACTGGTCCCTCACTTACTCTTTATACCAGCCCAATCAGTTAGCTGTGTCTGTTACTTTCACTTAACAGATGAGAAGCTGAGGCATAGGTTTGATTACTTGTCTAAACTCCTCTGTGTGTGCATGTGTATCTTTTCCTTCCTTATCTTGCTCTTCAGAAAGCCTAATTACAGATCCCTGAAATTCCTTACAATTTTTGCTAGCCTTTGATATTTTTATTTCTTTATAGGAATTATGTTCCACAAAAAAGTATCCCCAAGGAAGTACCACCAGGTACCAAGGCCTCCCCAGGTTGGTCCTGGGAGGCTGGTCCACTGGCTTCTTCCCCATCTTCACAGAATACACCTCTGGCTCAAGTGTTCGTCCCTTTGGAGTCTGTTAAACCCAGTAAGTACAGTTATCCCTTTCCCCCAACCCCTCTTTCTAGGTTAGACTCCCAGAGTTGTTTTATCTTACTTGACAGGGATGACCCTCTAATTTGGGGGGAAATACTGGTGAAGATTTTGCATGAGGGCAGAGGAGGGGTAAGAGGTCGCTGCTTGGTCTTTTAGCTAATGCATTGTAGAATTGAGACTGAAATTGGCAAGCAAATTTAATGCAAGGACATAAATCCACCTACAGATGTGATATTCCTTCATTTGAAATCCTAGAAGAGAATATGTCCTGAAATGACAGGGGAGAGGTAGAATTCAAAGGAAAGAATGAATTTGGCAAGTGACCCTCTTCCTCTAAGGATTCTCATTAAGTAGAAAAGTAGGTAGTACCAACTCCTGCAAGGAAAGGAAATCAAGGGCCCAGCTAGGCAAGGTAGTCGGTACACTAGTATGTGGAACATGAAGTAGCCCAAGTCTTCAGCTCTAGGACTGGGGCTCTCTTCTCAAGAGCATAGATCTCTGTGGTTTGGTGATGGTAAGGTCTGGTTAGAGAGGGTCTGGAAGCCGGAAGAATGAACGAAGCCTAGCCTATGGTTATAGGCATATGCATTTACCTGTGAGATACAGGGAAAGGGAATAATCATTCCCCCCTCACCTTAGAGGGAAGGGCCACACTGCTATCCCTTCTCCATTCTCCTCTTGTGATTTTGGGCATACATGCAGACACACCCAGGGTGGTTTTTAAGCTGCCGGGTCTGGGACTTGAACTGTGTAGTCAGCCATGTGGGACCCAGGCATCTTAACCACCACACCACCTAACTGGCTCAAATTTATTAATTAGCTTTTTAATTTAAAAATAATACATTGTTGGGCCAGCTGGTGCTGTTAGGTTAGGACAGTTGGATCCCACGTGGCTGCCTGAGCAGTTTGAGACCTGGATCCAGTAGTTTGAAAAGCGCACTGGGTACATGTGCATGTGTGCCCAAAATCCCAAGAGGAGAATGGAGAAGGGATTGTGGCATGGTTGTCCACCGTGGGGGTCACTTTTTCATTCTTTCTCTGGTGAGTATATGTGCCTTCTAGCAAATTTTTAAAAAGTAATGCATGCCAACATACTGATGTTAATAATTGTACTGTGGTTGTGTGAAGTATTGGGAGAAGTTGAGTGAAAGGATATACCTTTATTCATTTTGTAACTTAATTTTATTTATTGTGATTAATATTTATTACATTATTTATAATATATATAATTAAAATAATATTATTTTAAATTTGACCAGAGAGAGACAGAGAAAGGGAAAGTGAGAAAGCAAACTGCCAGGTCCAGGACTTGAACTGCGGTCGGCCATGTGGGAGTTCAGTGCCTCAACCACCTTGCCACCTATCAGCCCCATTTTGTAACTTTCATGTTTTTTTTTTTTGAGAAGTTTTTGCTGTAGGGCCCCTGCGCTTGCCAGAAAGACAGAGACAGAGAGATAGAAAGCGAGAAATCACCTCCCGGGGGGATGGCCATGCTGCAATCCCTTCTCCATTCTCCTCTCAGGATCTTGGGCACGCATGCACATGCTCCCAGCGTAAGTCCCGGGACTCAAACTGTGATCGGCTACATGGAAGTTCAGCAACATAGCCATTACGCTAACTGCTGGTTCCACCATTTTGTAACTTTTTATAAGTATGAAATTCTTACAGAACCAAGTTAAGAAAATAAAAGTAAAGACAAAAATACATGTTCAATGTAGAGTTTGAGAAGGTAGCAGGGCCAGCAGGTGGCATAGTGGTTTTAGTGCTGGCTGACCACAGTTTGAGTCCTGGTCCCAGCAGCTTGAAAATCACTCTGGGGGGAACCAGCATTTAGCGTAATGGCTATGTCGCTGACTCCCGCGTAGTCGACCGTGGTTCGCATCCCGGACCCGGTGGCTTAAAACTCACGCCAGGCGCGTGTGCGTGCGTGCCCAAGATCCCGAGAGGAGAATGGAGGAGAAGGGATTGCGGCGTGACCATCCCACCTGGAGGGGCATTGCTC